TTATGTCAACTTAAGTGGACGTCCACTAAGTTTCTTAGTCATTGATGATCACTTGATTGAGCTACATTGTGGATGATCCGCTCTGTTGAACTTGATCTATATATTCTAAAACCCCAACACACCAAATTTGGGATGAACCCGTCGTGGTTTGACCATTCATCCACTCGTATCAATTTTAACGGTTTCGAATGAATAGAACATTTTACATGGCTCGACGGAGGTTCAAACTACGACGGGTTTACCCCAAATTTGGTGTGTTGGGGTTTTAGAATATGTAAATCAAGTTCAACGAAGCGGATCATCCACAATGTAGCTCAATCATGTGATTTTAGGCCGCGTCCTTAGATGATTATCTAAGGCGTCACCTTAGGAACACTTCTCCATATATATATATATATATATATATATATAGTAATATGGGTATGTTTGGTACCAAGCATAAATTTTGTGTTTGGTAGTGAGGTGACAAAATCTCTACTCATTCAAATGGGGGATCACATTCACATAAGTTGAGGAGTACATGGGGATATGCAACTGTTTGAATGAGTGGAGGGGATTATGCCACCTCACTACCAAGCACAACTTTTTGTACTTGGTACTAAGGGGCTGTTTGGTTGCACAATTTTTGAGAAAACTTTTCTCAAAACATCTGACAATGGCAAATTTGTAATTAAAAGTTTTTCAGAGATTTCTGTAAATTGTGTTTGGTTCAACAAAAAATTTACAGAAATATTTTCTATAAAAAATCAAAACCTACCAAATTTTACAAAAAGCAATTTCCTCTCAAAATGAGAGGAAATCACCAGAAATCTGACACATACCATATTTAATTAAAAACCTACCAAATCTTGTTATTTTCTATAAAGTTATGAGCTATTTTCTTGTTTTGAACCAAACAAGCAAAGTACAAAAAACAAGAAAATTGGTACTTTTTGATTTCTCAAAACTTTTCCTATAATTTTTTTAAGAAATACAAGGAAATCATATTTTAGGTGGAAAACATTTCCTATAATTTCTAGAAATTGAACCAAACACCCCTAATATACACTTTCTCTCTCCATCTCTCTCTTCTCTATCATAATACTATATATATATATAGTATATATCATATATATATATATATATATATATACACCACTAATTGTACGATCTGTCAGTCACATCCATTCTTCTTCAGGAGCCTCCTTATTTCACTTTTCGAATATAGAAGATGCGATAGTGCTGACTGACAGATCGTACAATAGGTATAAATATACATTATATATATATATATACTAATATATAATATATATATATATATATTAGTTATATATACTATATATATATATATTATTATATACTAATTAGTACCGATCTGTCAGTCACACTCCATCTTTTTAGTGAGCTCGTTATTCACTTTCGACCTGTTCTAACGCATTACATGCAGATGGCTCAAATGAAATACAAGCATTACTTCATAAGTAGATTATCATAGTAGAGAAAATTTGAATATATAACAAGTTTTAATCTTGACAGCATGTTTTAGCGCAGTCTTTAACAGCTAAAAAGTAAAGTTTTATGATTTAAGTACAATTTTTTATTCTTATCTACATGATTTTTTTTTAAGTTTAAAAATAATTTATTTTTTAATCAAATCAACCCAGGGTTAAATTCCTTAACTTATTTCGGAAGAAAACTGGCAATGAGGAAATTTGGTACTTACTGTTTTATTGTTTGGAGGGAAAATTGACATTTTCTGTAAAAAAAGGTAAGATCATAATGGAAAAAAGAACTCATATTCTTCAAAGGCTGTGTGAATATAAGAGAGCTAAAAAGAATGAGAAAGAAGCAACCAATTGATCTTAATTCAGTAGAATTTAACAACAGCCAACTCTTGCTTGTGAGCAGCGAAAGATGATCAAACCTTCTCTGTTAATACTTTTTCTTGCCGCACGTTTGGAGGCAAAGTTTTACAACGCAGAGAATAGAGGAAAAAGAAACATATGTTGCGTTATCATTTACCCATGCTCAGATTAACCAGGTCACGGTGATCAGTAAATATCACAATGGGATAATTCCCAAAGTCTCTACATAAACACGCTACATATAATCGATTGACTACAAAGATCAACTCTCATGCTGCTCTCACGCTGCTTATCTGAGCTCTAACTCGCTGTTCGAAAAGAGTTACATATGAATTAAAGTATAAAGGACCGTCTATCTTAGGCTCCACGACAATTTATCATGCAGTCTGATCAGTACTTTTTGTGTCATTTTGAAACTGTAATCATTTAATCCTATCATTGATTGGGTTGCTGCCTCCTAACGAAAAGAAACAACCCTGTTGCAGCTGCAAATAGATATGGAAATACTGTCCAGATGCCCTGAAGATACATCAGAAGTCTCAACAGGTAGTAAATAGATAATAAAAGGGGTAAACTGCACATGACCCCCAAAACTTTGGGGACCCATGTATTCTGTTTATTCGTCTAAACCCCTAAAAGTTTTCCCACTAAACTCTGGACTTTAGGATGTAAACGCCCTACACTTTTAACTTTTCCCAACAATACCCCCAAACAGGGCTACTTTCAATATCAAATTACCCATATATCCTCAATGATAAAGAAAAACAAAATATAAAAATAAGGATATACAATGGGTATTTTGGTCAATTGAATTAACGTGCTAGGCATGTACAGGGCTTAACACCAACACCATTAACTAGAGGTATTTTGTGGGAAAAGTTTAGGGGTTCAGTGGAGTAAACAATATTCAAGGAGGTATCGTAGGAAATGCCCAACTTTGGAGGAATTTGTGAAATGTTTTTGTCTGAAAAAAGATAGTTAAATTTGAACTATATGAAGGGGAAAAATATGTACCACAACTGTTGCAACACCAGCAAGCGCCACTGCTGGCCGTTCTCTCAATAGGAATCCAATTGCCAGCTGATGTTAAGTATCAAGGAACATGATTAGCTACGTTGAGTAAACATCATCAAACACATGAGTCAATGAAAAAGAAACAGAAGATAGTTGGAAAAATAAGCTATTTGTATTTTTAAACTACTTGCTTCACTAACTTCCCAAGTTCTAAAAATATTATAGTCCAAAGTTACGAAAAAAATACTCATACATGAGGTTAGAAGCAAGAGTCGATTCTATGTCGCATAGGTATGTAGATGAAAAATCCTAATGCATTCAAATAGTCAGTCCCATGTTTAATGTAGATGAAGAATACAGGAATAAGATTTATATACAATTATGTAAACTACTTCCAATGACTTCAGGCTTGGCATATCTTAGTATCTTAGTAGCCTACTAACTAGACAACAACATTATCCTTCACAGGCAATAATAATATGTATAATTACATCATCCATGAAAAGGAAACTACGTGGTCGAAGGAAGTGTACAATCATAATTGAGTAAATGATAAGAAGTGAAGCAAGTTTTGGCACAATGAACAAAATGTACAAAGTTACCATTCTATCTTGGAAAAAGGGAATAAGTACAATAGGAGAGGAAGGATTAGAAAATGAAATAAGCTAATATAGGTTTCTGAATCAGGGTTTCATGCACTCTGAATCGGTCATCTATTTCCAGTGTAAGCAATGTTCTCATAACTGAGAAAAGATAATTATAATCATGAAACGAAGAATGACCGTATCTCCGAGTTTACTCTAAAACACACTCATTTAGTTCATTCTAAATGTAGAAAATAGCAAGCAAGGATAATACAATCTCATTGATTAAGGTGATGTATCATGATGTTCTGGCTCCAAGTGTCCGAAGTGTCGGAGTTGATGATGGAAGTGGTGGAACTATAGTCAGCGCGTTAGAATCCCAAAAATTAAGTGTAAGAGAAATGAAGGAATATGTGATTGTTACTCCAGACTATTGCTACAAAAGGTAGCATGTAGGGTTATGTAGCCAATTCCTCCTCGGAAGATTTTCGGCAGCGAGCTATCTACCATATGAAGCTAGCATCTTCACCTTGAATGGAGCGAGTACAAACCATAGTTGATGGAGGGAAGGGACAGCATGGAAATTGTTGTGTTGAGGGAGTTATAAAGAGATTTAACTGTGAAAAAATTGCTAGTATCAAGCTTGCAAGTTCTATTATCTGGTCCTTCAATAAATAAAAACTGTGAGAATTTACGATGTTGAAGAGCAATTACAAGTCTGAAAGCAAGTAAGGAGGGAAGGGATCACCACATATTGAAGGAAAAATGAAGAGATTTAACCATGAAGATGTCATCTGTATTCAGCATGCAAGTTCTAATATCTGGTCCTTCAGTACAATTGTGTGTTGAAGAGCAATTACAAGTCTGAAATCAAGCAAGGAGGCAGCACCAAGCATTGAAAAGCGAACAAGAGCATTATCTAGTGCCGCCTTTTGAGAGGGAATGAGAGCTTGTTGATTTTGTGTAATCCGGAAGAGTCAAGGGAAGAGAGATGTAACATCATTATCCCGAATCCAATAATCCAACCAAAATCTAGTAATTTCACCTACTCTTATATTCACTCTGATACCGGAAAGAAAACCCTTACTAGCTTTGAGAACAATCCTCAAAATTTGAGGCACATGGACTTAACAATTATAAGTCTGCAGAAGATATTGAGAAAATGACAACATCTGAACACTTCATCTTCTCCTCTTCAAAAAGCATACACAGTATTCATAGAGAAGATGCATAAGCTTAATATGGCTTTCTACCCTAGTCATCGGAAATGCATCATTCAAGAAAGAAATCATAATGCATTCTGAGATTGTTGCCGAGCACACGCCTGACAAGATTTTGCTAGGTAGATGTAACCATAAATTATGAATAGCATGAGCCATATTGTAAGATTCGTAGAGGAATAACCTGAACTGAAAGAGTAATTAGACCGCCACCACAAACTCCAGCAAAAAAGCAGTCTAAAGATATGCCCTGCATTCCAGAGGACAAGAATGCCAACATTAAAAAAAAAAGGGGACTAGTATAAATTAAAGAAATGCACTAATGTGAGAAATAAGCATTCACCCATATACGTATCTACTATGACTACATGCACATCTATAATGTACATATATATTGCATGGATAGACATACATAACAATACCTGTCTAGCTTCTGATTTTGTCAGTACATGTGCACACGTAGCCGTGAAATCCATTAGATGACATGAAGTAATGAATTTATAATAGAGTTTCTCACCAATCTATATCACAAAGAGTAGGTTTACGAAACCATCATAGAATGACACCTTTCCTATAACAGAATCTAACACACCCAACATATTTATTGTTGGCACCTGGAGTAGGCACATGTAGAATTTCGAGCAGAGGACATGTAGGAAATTAACTCCACATGACAAAATCAGGAATTATTCTCCCAGAGGCAATGCAAGTAGACAGTAAGTGGCAGAATAAAATCCAATTTAAATAGCCGAATATGTTTTTGACCATTAAGGGCGCATCATAATTCTTATCCATGGGAACTAGAATACTAGATTACAAAATTTCCCACCCCCCTTTCTCCTGGTGTGCAGGCATGCAGAGACATCAAACGACCTATGGATTGGACTGTTTGAACTTTCGGAGCAGCAGCACAGATAGGGAAGTGCAACAATTGGCATGACAGGCTGGGCAGGATTGGGAGAAGTTAGGAGCATAGAGAGAAGGGTGGCTCATGTTTAGTAACATCAACCTGCATGAAACCCTATTATTATACAAAAAATAGGTCAAGTTTTGAAAATTTTGGAACTAACAACACATGACAAACACAACAATATGCTGTCATTCAAAACAACATTGTCCTAATCAGCTAACCAATATGAGGTGTTAGTTATTATCACATGGTGACATTTAGTTCAAAGAGTTGGAAGAAAGAAAGAAGACGTTCTCCATTGTACACTGAATGACTAATGACACGAAAGCTAAGCCACAACGATTCTACAGCAAAGTTGGAGAACATTGAAACTATTATGTCATTTATGGGTCTCTTTACATTGGTCTTCTCTGTAAGTGTAAAAGACTTAGTCATACTGACCATTAAATAGTGTTACAAGGTCAGAGATCCATAGGATCAAGGGCAGTCAATGAAGGCATGTGAAGTTGACAGGTTCTTATCTAGCTAATATATTGAAGAATATCATGACAGTAAGACTGAGAATCAGATTAGATGAAGACTAGCATGTTCCTCTCATATGTGCTGTGCAACAATCTCTGAAGAGATTTTTAATAGTCTCGAATCAGCTCTTTTTCAGTCCTATATTCCTAATAGAGGGTCTGATATGATCCACAAGGACAATCAAATATGTAAGAAAAAGGGCTAGTTATTTTAACTTTAATTAGTCCAGGAAGTGAATCCTTCCTTCCGCAAATAATATGAGAAAGGACTGATTTGAACTTTTCAATAATAAGATTTTAAAGTTACAGGAGCCTGAAGCAGTCTACTGAGCTATACTACTACCTTATCATAAATGGAGATAACACACTAATCTTTGGAGATGAGATGAGCCTTTTAAAGCATCCAGGGATGAGAAACACCTTTTATTATTAATCACATTAAAAGGTAGCTCTCAGCTGTTACATATCGAGGATCAAAATATTCTATTTACCTCTGTCAAGTGAGAGTATAGGATTATATCCTTTTATGGAAATCATTGTCTGGAACCTCCAACACAAAACAGAATATATCAGCACAAGATAGCACCCTCCAATTCACATTCTTCTAGACTTCTTCAACATGAAAACTGAATTTAAATTTAAAAAAGAATTCTATAAAAATGTTTTATCAGTTAATCAATTACAACAACTAAATAGTCTCAGGACTCTTTGGAAAAATCTTGCAGACTGCAGAGAAACAGCCAAGAATATGAATATTATTGTATTAACAGAAAAAAAAATGACTTGATTGTCACTCGTAGTGTTTAATAAACGCAAGAAACACTAAACTTTGGAAGGAACTTACCCATGCGCCTGCCAGAAATGCAGTAGGATTTCGAACTCCCAGGGAAAACCGCTCCACTGCATTAGCAAGTTTGATGTCAAAATCACAGTTAGTTGATCAATGTTAATTCTTTACAAAGTATCACTTTGAGAGTTAGTAACATGTCAGGACATTAGACCGAAGAATTAAAAGTAGCTGCCTTCAAGGGGTATGAATACTGAAAATGGCACTTCATCAACGGCAACAAGCCCTTTACCCAAACTTCAGGGGCCTGCTAGAGAGACATGGTTCATTAGGAAGGATTTGAAGCTTCCTGGTATAATTTGATTTTAAGCCCATTTATATAATCCACGCCATTGAAGTTAATCTAGTTTGCTAAAGATGTCTACACAAAACATCAAGTATTTTAAATTATTTTTTAGAAATTAGGTTGCTCTATTTCTGAACTACCTTTATGTTGGCCTTCTTGTTTTGATGATGTTTAACAAACAATTTACGACTAATATTATTTGTCTAGTATTTGTGTTTATCTATTTATTGTAGACAAACAATATGTTGGAAGGTTGGATGGAATTGCGCCATAACGATCATATCCAATGGAGGTTGGCGGAATAGTGGTTGAAGCCTATGCAATTCAAGTTGAAGATCCAAGTTCAAGCTTCAATGAAGATCTATCAAGCTTGGGTAATTAGTTTAGGAGTTTACATTACGTGTGTTGGTACTTTAAGCTCAATATCACATACACACACATACATTGTGTTTTCTATGTATATATAGTTATATATATACATACATGTTTTGGTTTTCATGTTTACATAAATATGAATTACATATTTCATATTTATTGTATTGTATTTAAAAAATATTGAGTTATTGGTTTATGGACTTAACAATCATTGTATACATATTTTATTAAGTCTATAAAATTATTTCATAGAGTTTCAAAACATTGTTTATGTCAAAACATCAAATTTCATGTGTATCACATTTTCATGTTTTGGACATATACTTGCAAAATACAAGAGTTTTCATAAATGGGAAATTCAATTTGAGAAATTATTTTTCTAACATGTTCAATATCATGTTTATAAACATTTTCCAAAGTTTCATCATTTTCGGAGTTGATTTACTGTGTCAAATTGATTTTACAAAATCGGGTGTTTCAGCAGTTTTTAGAATCTAAAATATCTATGTTTAAATATTTATTTCTCTCAACTGGGAAGTGATATTTCGAAAATTCTTTCTCCAACATATTCATATACATGTCTACAAAGTTTCATGAGTTTTAGAGTTGATTTACTATTTTTAATTGATTTTACAAAGCCAGATACGTAAATTTTCAGAATGCTGAATTTAGGGGTATTTTGGTCTTTTCAACGTATAACGGCTAGTAACGGCTAGTTTTTGATATTTTTGATTTTTAGGAGTTTGTGGTTGGTTTAAGAGGCTATAAAAAGACCTCAACTTTCATTGTTTCTCATGGATGTTTAAGAGAATTTTAAAAAGAGTTTTACAAGTTTGTTTAAGGGTTTTTAAGTTTGTTTCAAGAGTTTGTTTATGAAGAAACTTTCACAAGAGCTTGAGGAGATCATTCTTTGGTGTTTGGGCACTCAACTCTTCTCCCTCTCTCTCTTGTCATCTTTAGAGAAGTGTTTCCAAACTCAATCTAGCTTTACATTTATATATAATTGTTTGATTATCATTTTATTAAGCTAGAATTTATTTGAGTTTAGTTTGATTTGATTTACTCTTTGTTTACACACACAATCATTGAGCTTATTGTATTTGTTTATTTGAGTTTAGTTTGATTTGATTTACTCTTTGTTTACACACACAATCATTGAGCTTATTGTATTTGTATACATTATATAATTGGGTTGTGAGATTGTGTGACATTGAGTGTGAGCCTACATTGTGTTCTTATCTATTGTAGAGAACAAATTTATATTTATGTGCTTAAATTGTATAGTTCACTTTGTAATACACTTGTATACCGAGAAGAGTGTGTGGTGAGGATGGAGTCAATACCGAGAGGAGTGGCGTCGGTGGCCTAGTGAGAGGTGATAATTCCGAGCACTTGAGGGAGTCGATACGTGAGGACCAACACTTGAGGTTGTAGCTTGTGTATGTACATTGTGAGGATTTGTGAGAATTGTCGGTTGACTTGATAATCGAGTGTGTAGAGTTTTCGGTTAGCTAGAAAACCGAGTGTGTAGAGAAATTCCGGCTTTCAAACCGGGTTATGTAGTGGATTCTCCTCGAGAGTGGGGAGCGGGGACGTAGGACGGAAGGTCCGAACCTCGTGAACATATAGGGAGCGGGGACGTAGGACGGAAGGTCCGAACCTCGTGAACATATAACGTGTTTGGTTTGCATTGGCGCACTTATAACTGTTCATCTTATAGCCTATTGCATCTTGTTTATTTTGTCCACTAGTTTGTTTCACCCTTGTGATAGTTTATATATCCTTGCATACATCATATAGTATATCTCATTGCTAGGATATATCACATTGGTTATATTGCTTATTCTTGCTCATATCACATTGTTTATCTATCTTGCAAGAATAATTTGTTAATTAGTTTTAATTGGCATAAAATCAGATTAGATTAACATAAACCCTATTCACCCCCCCCCTCTAGGGTTCTTTCCTAGTGGCTTTAGGGTCGTAACACTTTAGAATTAAGAGGCTCAATGGACCAATTTCTCTCATTAAAAGCTACTGAAGCAACACTAAATTCAAATTTGAGGGGCAAATCAAAAAGGTATGTTGGACTAGCAAAAGGTTCATATGAAGTAATGGCACTATCACAAATAGCGGTAAATAGTATCACAACAGCAATGCTAAAAGCGTTAGTGATCTCTTCCCGCTACGCTATCACCTAATAGGGGTAACATATTGCGGAATATGCGCATTCCGCTTGCAAAAGCGACCAATAGCGCGTCATAGCAGTGAATAGCAGGTGATCACGGGCAAAATCCGCTTTTTGACCGCTATTTAAAAACAATTTGAGGTTTCTTTTTTTAAATTAAACCTGACACGCAACCACTACATCCCATCGCCTCCCGCAATTTCCAGCATATTCCCGCCGCCTCCCATAGCCTCCGGCACCTCCCTCGGTACTTTCTCTCACCTCCTCTCACTGTGAGCCCTCTTACTGCAATCCTCTCACCACTCAGCTCATCTTCTCGAAGACGACTCTTTCACTTCTCCAGTCATCTTCGGTATTATATGACGGTTACATGTCTATTTCAGGATCTCATTAAATTATCAAACATGCACTTTTAGGTTTTCTAGATTTTTCTTTACTTTTTCTTATTATTTTGAATATCTATACATATCTAAATTAGACAGCTATTTGACTTTACGTTTTTTACCGTTATTTTGCTGCAATAGTCCCAAATAGCCTTAGCGATGCCTTACCGCTATGCGACGCTATCTGCTATCGATAACCTTGAGTAATGCATTATTTTCCTATGTGATAAGTGCATCGCAAGATAATATATTACCGTATATGAACCTTCCACTAGTCTAACATACTTCTTTCCTTTTGCCATTGAATTTTGAATATAACGTAACTTGACTACCTTCCGATGAAACAAATTGATCCACTCGGGTTCTTAATTTTGGAGGTAGTCTAGTGATTCATACTTTTCCTTCTTTAAATTTTTTAATCGGTGAAAGCTTTTTAACATTGTTCTACCACATATGAAAGAGCTTTCACACATGGATGGACTCTTTCCAAGAATCGGCTCAATGATGCTTGAAACGATTGATCCTCCTTCCTTTCCAAGTAAAGTCACAATACTTACAATCAACATACCCTCTTTGATCATCGCTCGGTCGATACCTGTATACTCTTTAACATGCTTCCAAGAAATATCTTTACCAACACTAGAAATTCAAATAATATAAGTTGATCAATTTTTCAGTTACAAGCTTATAACAATAATGTAAGTTACTAAAAATAGAAATCAAATCTATATAACTGATGTTCATCCCAAGTTATTTATTGTACAATTAATAAGTAATTTTACTAAATTATTTATTAATATATTTTAAAAAATAGAACATTCCTCAGGTTTCTAATACACAAAAGAGAGGGTGAAAATAATAAACAAAAAAGTATATACATATTATTAAAATAAAAAAAGAGAAAGTGTAGTGTTTGAAAGATGGAGAGAACTCGAAGACTCTGTTCAGACAGAGAGAGACGAGAGAAAAAGTAAAGACAAAAGAATGATAGAAAATGAGAGTCAATAATTAGAACATGCCAAAGAAAAAGTCATAGATACAGAAAAAAATGTTCGTTGGAACAACATTCGAAATTTTTTTGGGAAAAAAAGAAAAACCAGACCGAGCTAGAAGAGATAAACAAAAAAAAGGGAAACAAAAAGGAAATAGGAAAATAATGCAAATGAGAAAAAAGATACTTGATCGTCACCATGATGATTATTGCCCTGGTGCGGCTAGTCGTAATCAGCGTTTTCTCGTCGCTCTGCTTTCAACATGACCGGAACTCTCAAATAGGTTGGTTGAGAGAAACGGTTAGGTTGATATTTCACAGAAGAGTTTGACTCTAATAGAAATCGGTGTTGGACGTTGATAACAAACTTATTACGATTTTATAAAAGTCATTATTTTTATATGATACTTTTCCATAAGCATAGATTTTCCTATATGAATAAAAAATAAATAAATACATCAAACATGTAATGTAAGTATAGAACTGAGTCACCTTCGAGTATCTAAGTTGGAAAATATACTTTACAATTGGGCTATGTTTGAGAAGTCTAAGTATCAGTATCAACATGAATCGACATGCAAACACTAGTACAATTTCATAATAGAAGTATCCATGCTACATAGTGTAGGAGTCTTTGCATCCTTCACGTCTCAAAGTTAAATGTCTCATCTAGTCACAGGTACATGTCTCAGTAAGATCAAGTTTCTGCTCATCTCGAAGCCTACATTAAATTCAACAGCTTCATGATAGACATTATTACAGCACATAATGAGGTTTCAAATCCTGCACCCACTACCATGGTTACATGAGGCTAGGTTGGAATTTGTAGAAGCATAACTGTTGTACAATGATCTGCAACAAGATTTTCACAAGGAAGCATATAACTTCTGAATTCTGCAGAAAATTTATCAACCTAAAAGTCACAATCCATTTGAAAGACTGATAAAATATGTCCTACCGTATGGAGCTCTGACATAATATGGATATCATGTACCAAAGTTAAAGTCCTTACAACAACATTGAAGGTACAAAACTTTACTTTTATATCTTTTATATTAGTTATAAGAACGGGTAATGTGATTGTTTTTTTAAGTTTTATTTCAGAGAGATCCAACTAAATCTTTCTCCTCCTTTATTCTGGCTAGGAAGGTTACCCGGACACTTCATTTTTGGTGTCGTATTCATGTCCGACACATGCTCAATATGGATTCACCACAAACACGCCATGGATACATGTGGTTCAAAGCAAAACTCGATATCGCCATTGCTTATAACCTTAAACTAGCTTCTTTGGTATATCGGGTTCAAAGCTAATAGGACATTGAACCCGAAAACCAAAATCCATCAATTAGAGATTTGAAAAGTACCCATAGTATCCCATGTGAGTAAAACTAAACCCGATTCTTCCTTTTATTCTCCATTCCACTTCATCTTCTTCGAACCTAAAAAGGAACGAAGGTCACTTTCAGTCACTCGATGACAACAAAAGATCTTAACTCTTTGTTTGATTTAACTTGATTCTTAATTGTTATAGATAACAAAAGAAAATACAAATAGGGAGATCTTGTGTGGTCCAAGGGCTTCTCGCTTCCCTCTTTTTAATTTAAGGCTATTTTGGATTCCAGCTTTCATTTTAATAGAGATAGTTGCTCTGAACATAAGATTTTTCCTATTTTTCGTAGGTAAAGCTAGCTAACCTCAATTCAATATTTGATCTAACACAAACTATAAATATATAGTCGTGTTCTCGTATCCTAACTTTCAAAATTTTGTCATGTCCCGTGTCCATGTATGTGTTAGCACCCACACCCATATTTGTGCAACCTAGCTATGGAGTGAAACAATATGACATTGTGCAGCACTCCAACATTAGAACTTATGCCAAGATAAAGGCTTTAGTTATTAGTGCGATTCATATTAATTATTTGCCTTGTCCAGATAACCAACTTAGGCCATGTTTGTATTCGGGACTTGTTTTATCCTGGGATTAATTTAACTCACTATAGTCTTGGGATATAATAGTACTAGAGACTCTATTGAGTTAAATTTTTAATAACCTATTTGGTTCAATTTGTTATTAACACCTCTAACACCTATATCATGTTTGGTAACTAATCGTTATAAAGTGCTATAGAATTAGAACTTAATGCAAACATCCACAATGCTCTTCTACCTCGCAGTCATGATTTTCGCTTAAGTTTAAACCTAGAATTCATAATGTCTCTATTCTCGAGTGAAAAAAAACCAACATAAACAGATTTCAACCCGCCATCACAGGCTAATTCAACATTGTTCATTACCAAATTCATCAAAATGTCAACACCGCCAAACATAATTAGCCATAATTTTAAAATGCATCATAAGCATAGGGAGGGTAAAAAAAACCTAAGCTCCCCTAAATTTGATGTCAAAACATTATAAAACAAGCCTTTAGCACTTGAATTCATTTCTATGTTCTCTACCATATTAACTGAACATAGCAGGAGATTCAAAGGTTAATGCAAGATCATGCAAAGACGGAAAATTGTAGTGATTACTTTGACTAGGTAACCAATTACCCCAAAACTAATCAATTTCAAACTATGAAAGAATGTGTTTATCATATGCTCTCCGTTCTGATTTCTTTTCCATAAGTATTGGTTCGGTCTATTAATATTTTTCTTGTAATCGGAGATGATGACAACAATTGAAGGAAATATTGGATAGAAACGCTACGTAATTTGTAGAGAAGTTAAAGGGTAAGTGATCTTTTTGGATCTAATTCCAAGTGGTAAATAGTCTCATGACTATAATAACACTCCCCTCCCCACCCTTATTTAGTCCGAAATCTCTTTGAGTCTTGGACTATTTTATTCTAAGAATCTAAAGGAATATATGGTCCGGCCTAGTCCCTTCAAAAAATTTGAACCAAACTCCTCGCTCTTTTAATTGAAAGGATAAAGTATTATTACCTCATAATAATACCCAATCCAAACATGGCCTTAGTGGATTGACATTGGACTAACTTCGTGACACTTGATTATCTTTCTATGGCAGCCTTCTCAAGTTAAGAGTTGTGGCAAGCAAAGGTTTCCATAACAATGAAGATGATGATTATGGAATTTATTATGCAAATCTCTAAACAGCATAGATGAAAAGGAACAAAATTCTTTGTGCTTATTAAAAAACTTAAAACTGTTATAAATAAACGATATTAAAAACATCAGGAAAGGAAATATTATCTCCAATAACAACATCAATAACGAAAATGTTGCTCCTCCTCTCACAATTAATGCTGCTAGCTAAGGAATAATTCAAAGCGGGCATCAAAGAAGAAAAAAAAACTATATAATGAAAGGTTTGTTAGTCCGCAGAACTTACCAAAGCCAATTAAGTTGCCATATTTCTGTACTGCCTGAGCTATCCTATCTACTTTCTCCTTGTCAATCCCCAACTATAATTGCATTCGATATGAATCATGTTAAAAGATTTATAAATGATCAAATTATCATGAACTAGTAAAGTGCACGTGATAAAAAAACTAAAGTAAATCATCAAAAGAAGTATTTATGTGTTTTATGGGATTTCTATCATAAGGAAAAAGGCAAACTATATCTTTTAAGAGCAAATAGATAAAAAAATTCCTTATGCACTTGGCATTGTTACTTTTGGGGACCAGGCTTCATTGGCTCCAGCGCACTATATATTCCTGTGCATTAATTCTAAACTTAACCCAATAGAATCTCAAGGGAAGGTTGATATTGGAATTTAGATCTATAAACTTTTGAATAATTTACTTTATTAAATTTTAACTCAAATTAGAATTAATTCTAAACAAACTTCTTTCAAACTGAGATTCAATTTTTCAAATATCTTTTTAGACATATGTATAAAGAATCTAATTTGAATATATTAAGAGAAGGAAGAAATAGTTACTTAAAATAATTATTGAGAATAAGTAGAAGTGTATAACACTGCATTTCTTTTAATATATTTGTCACTCTCTTTAAACCACCACATACCTGAAAATTTGTCATAAATTTCATTTCCTAAATAGGAGAAAATTAGGTTTTCCAAAAACAAAAAAAAAAATCATAAATTTTTCACAATAATGGTGTTTTGTAATCAACTTATTTTTTTTCTATATTTTACGATAGCTCTTTTTTTTAAACAAAGTTTCCACAAGAGAGAGGAAAGAGCTATTCAATGCTAAGTGGGGAAGGACAAAGAGAAGAGCATCGTATCTTTTATTTTGTAATTTTTACTTTAAAGAGTTATGTATGGATTTTCAAAGTTTAGAGAGAGAAAAGGAGTCATTGGAAAAGAGGGGAGAGAGAGCGAAGGCAAGGTGAGGGAGGAAGGAGACCCACACTAATTGGTGTTGTGTTGGAGTAATCTTGTTTTTGTGTGAAATTACAATACTATCCCCACATGTTGCGTATGAATGTCCACTTCCTTCAAATTTGTGCCTGCCCCCACATGGTCTTTTACATATAGTATAGAGGAAAGAAGGAGATTGCCTATTATTAGTGTTTTTATATGTAAAAAAGGGTCACAAGATATTTTGTATCTCATGATTGAAAATGAAATAAATAGGGAAAACAAACACCAATCTGGTCCAGTAAGAACATCACAAAAGAAACAATGCACAAACCTTAGTACATATATCTTCAGAAGCCTTGGTCTTTCTAAACATTCTCCCTAGGTAATAAGGTATCAGATCACTGATGCAAACTCCCCTGCAGGTGCAGTTTATCAAGCAAAATATATTAGTAATCCACATACTTAGAAATAGAACAAATCATGAGATTTCCATTTCTGGAAAGTAGATACCGGATTTAACATGACCTTACCAGTATACCCATAGAACTGTTGACACAATATAAGGAGCATTCTTTGAAAATGATGCAGTAAATGCTTGCCAATTACCATCCAGAGTCAGAGTCCGTGCTATAGATATTCCAACCTGCAACATTTATCATGGTTTGCGAGACCATAAATATAGTATGCCTTTGCTTATAGTTATAGGGAAATAAGGGGTAATGTGAAGAAAAAAATTTAACTAGTCCACAAGGATATGTATAGTTGAGAAATATTAAAACAAAGCAAGACAAACCAAACTAAGCTTGGTCAAATAGAAGGTACCGGTACAAAGGACAGACCCAAACATTTAACGCTTCTTCACTAATAAATAGTCCACAGCCAGCAGCCATAAGCAACCAAAAGTAGACCCACCTGCATGAGATTTCCTATAAGAAATCATCACAACTGCATGCATTCCGTAGAAGAAATGGAGCAAGACAAAAGAGCAATGTCATATGGAAAAGTTGAATATGATGAGAAAAGAAGGAAATCCCAAATATGATAAGTCATTTAATGCAGTCTAAGAGAACCACCAAAATTGTACAAACCCACAAATTAAAAAAGAATAAGATGAAATTTCACATTAAAGATATAAACAAACTCAAACCCCTTAGAAATACATGAACAGAATAATTACATTTCATTTAGATCCTATTAGTGTCGTCCTAAGTGGCATAGACAGAGGTACGGGACATGGGTACGAAAAGGACAAGAACCATGGCAATTCTTCAAAAAGTAGGATGGCGACATATATATAGATATATCTGTGTATGTATAACACACACACCCACACACACATATACATAGATTCATACATATATACATACATACATACATATATATATAGAGAGAGAGAGAGAAATATGGGTATGCTTAAATTTTGTGCTTGGTAGTGAGGTGGCACAATCCCCTCCACTCATTCAAATGGGGGACCACATTCACATAGGTTGATGAGTGCATTGGGATATGCAACCATTTGAATGAGTGGATGGGATTATGCCACCTCACTACCAAGCACAACTTTTTGTGCTTGGTACCAAGCATACCCATTTTTCTCATTCTTCTCCCCCGTGAGCTGCCAGGTGTATGACATGTGAGCCCCCACACCGATGTGACTAGTAAGAGGCCCACATGTCATGGACTTGTCAGCTCACGGGGGAGAAGAGCTGCCAGCTCTTCTCCATTTTTATATATATATATATACACACACACACATACATACATACATATATACATACATATGTGTGTCTTGTGTGTGTAATAATCAAAAATAATAATAAAGAGAGACTATATATGCATACATTCACAATGTTCATGCATCCAAGAGTCTAAATAATAATTTCTAATAATATAATACATATACTGGTTACATATATGCCTTTTTTTTTATACTTCCATACATTTTATGACTTTGCAAAAGGAATATTAGTTTGGCTCTTCAGCTTACATGAAATGTTAAAGACTTACCTAAACCTTACTTATAATAGTCAATATTATTAGCATTTCCCTATTATAGTCTTTGTTGTATAAATGAGAATAAATAGATATCTCAAACAAGTAATATGGATAAAGAATTCTGTGAAGTGTAGGATATACATCCAATAACTTTATGGCCAATGCTTTAAATTAAATATTTATTATATAATTGAGGATACATTTGAATAAGTTATGCATGTGTCTGAGAAATGTCCATGGAAGTGTCAGTGTCCGATATGGGTGCCCAAGTGTCAGACACGAGTATGACTTCATGATAGAGGCACCTGTATACATAGGACCAACCTAAGACTTTCTTTTTCTTGTATTACCATCTCTAAAAGGTATAGTGATGTAGCTAGTAGATTTGGGCTCTAACAATTGATTGATTCCAATATTATAGATTTTATAATCTATTCTTGATTTGGTTACTTCTACACTTCTTTCGAGTATTCAAACATGACATGCAAATGCAAAAATTGCGGCACATGATAATAATTGACCTTACTGTTGATTGTGACATCAGCGCAACCAGCAAACAATGAATTAATGCATTACTTAAAGTGCACAAATTAAGTTATATGGAGGCCAAACCGAGATATTTTTCTAACAAACAAAAAATTCTTATGCTTTATGCCATTGACTAAGAGCTCATTTTGTTTATTAATGTTAAGAAACAAATCAAAACGGACAGGAAGGTACAAGCAAAACACGTTACACCATATGTGCATACCCTGGAGTATATTCCGGAATAATGATATTATAACCAAAAATTTTCAAATTGAAACCAACAGGAGAAGTCACTGGAACTGATTGTGATGAACTATCAAAAAAAAGTGGCAAGCTGTGCGATGATCCTGAAGGAGACCACTTTGCAAATATTGATATCAGGATAACTGTTGCTGCTATACCCAGAGCAATCGCTATCTTTGCGAAGAATGATGTCCCAGGACTGTTGGTGTTTGTTTCCACTTCCAAACATTCAAGAATTCCGTCCAAAACTTTATCCTCACCACTTGAAGGTGTAAAACCAGATTTGCAAGCCTTTACAGCTTCAACTCCTCGATGTTGGATCCTTCTTAGCCTGCTTATACAGTCAGAAATGTCATTTTGCATGTTATAGATGAAAAAGATAACAAAATAAAAAAATTGTTGGGATAGATTAACATCTTCGAAATATTGACACGTTAGAGTTCAACATAAAGAAAATTATTTTTTAGTCAAAATATTAAAAGATAAATTGTACAGCAAGTTATAGTAATCACCTCGCAATGGCAGAGCTCTACCAACAGTTTTTTAGAAATCAATAACGAAAACATCACCACATCAAACCAGCTTATGTAACCTCCTCCTTTCCCTTCATTTTTTTCGTTTGCTTTTGGAGTTATAAAACAAGTTTCTTTGTGAAGAGATCAGTAATAACTCCCGTAGCAGGTGTTGGATGATTATCTTAAGATGAATAGAACACTAAATAGGAATCCTTTTCAAAAAATTAATAATGGGCTTATTGGCTCAAGGAGAATACTTTTCGTTCTCTCAGTATACATGTGGGTCTATGGATGGAATAGATAGGTGGATGTTTTGGGTAGGAGGCAACAGGCAGGGACACAAGTTACCTGTTCAATAAAGACGGTGGAGTAAGGAAGAGAGTCCCGGTTTATGCCCTAGCAAGAACCAAATGCCAAGGAAACCTACAAACTATTTACAGGTAGTAGGGAGGTATCATTGTTTGAGAAAGGAGGTAATAAAAAACAGGAACTACACTGGCAAAAATTGCAGCACTATGAATGCTCAAACAAGCAATATTTCAGCATTTGAAGAGTTATACTTAAAACATATTTGGTCGTAGTATTATTGCTGAAATTTACCATTTACTATCAAAAATTCTTTTGACTACCAGAAGCTAAATCAAAAATTGACTCCACCATCTACTGATTATGCCTAGCTGCAAGCTGTTCTCAAACCGCAGCTCAGACATTTCTTTCCATCAAAGAAGCTGAACCAAGGCTCCTGCATGACAATGTCAAAGTAGCTCAAGATCATACGAGAAGGTGATATTTGTAGCAGAATAGGACACTCCCGCAGCATCCATGGTCAGATTATATCATGTTCGTTTATAATAGTTAAGGTTTCCCTCTTTTGCCTCTTTGGGTTGTTTCCGGAAGCATGTTATCCATATGTTCATTTTCAACGAAACACAATATATTATACCATTAGCAAAAACTAATACATCTCCGATTTGTAATAGTTGCTTGGAAACATGACAAGGTATTAATTCAACATATACTGGACCCTAGTCAACCTCCCTTCTATCATCTTAGCAAAAGATGAATAGTTAATGATTAACCTTTAAAGTCTCCCCAAATTCTGATCCTAATGCTTGCTAAATACCGAACTCCCTCTCTTGAGCAACTTTCTTGGGACCTCTGCAAGCTACATACTACATGGAACTATAGTTACTAGAGGGAACATTTATGCTCCCATGCTATACTCATGATGATTTACTGAAGCAGAACGAAGGCAATCAACTCTAATATTAGATCTAAATCTGAAAACTAAAGGAAAAATATAAAAAGAAAAGATAAATTGGGAGCCTAAGCCGGTATCACATGCAATGGGAAGAAGGGCTGAGATTGTAACAGAGAAAAATAACCAAAACAAAAAAGCTTCACACCTTTAAATCTGATGATTCACTCCAATATCTCAACTAACACATCCATTCATCGATTAATCAATCTCTGCCCCTTACAAAAATCCATCCTCTCTTTAATAGAGTTTGGAATTTTTATCTTAAACCAACTCTGTCTCTGAAAAAATTCAATCTTTTTGATAAAACTAATTCGACAAACTCAATCTACACCTAACATAATTAAAATCCAAACAACTTAACAAAATGATAAAATCCAAATCTATCGAAGTCTAATCAAATCTTTGATCCCCATCAATTCTCCTAGGCATGGAAGAAATTACCACAGGTTAAAAAAAAGTTGATAATAGTACCCTGGATCAAACTGTAGGCTCCTTTGAATTTGAATCTCCACGCCAATAAACTAAGTATTTCTGCAATCCATCGTTAGCGATTACCATTGTTCAATTATCATAAATCTGCTCATAGGGCAGCACTATCGATAAAGATGGCAAATGAAGCAGTAATACAGCAAGTACGCTAAGAGCTGCAAAATCTATCAGTTTAGAATATGGAAAGAAAATTTTCAGTATTGAAGGCTGGATTTAAACTCATTCTATTTGGCAAAACTAATTCATAAAAATTCTCTCATACCCCTCTACTGACACGAATATGAATGAAACTTTATGAAAGATCTTCAAAACCCTAGAAGAAATGAATACATGAGTCACTAGGGTAGAATTATATCTATTAGGGAATAACCATGAGAATAGGGATGAATCGCCTAGGGATATACTTTGAGAATGATACCCAAATAATAGAATTTTTCTTCCTCCCTCTAGAAGGAACATGGAAAGAGGACAAGGAGATAGGAATAGACAGATGATATCACAAAAAGGGCTAAGGTAGACACCCCTTCCTATGATGGAAGACACGACCCCAGGCTTTTAACGATTGCATGGTGTTATGTCAATAATTAGCCAAGTGCAAATCCTCCTCTTGGAGTCGACACGTATCCCATATTATCATTAATTATCAGATCAGTGCACCCAAGCTAGAAGTAGCTCCGGTAGTTAGGGTACTCTACCCTTTCCAAGCAGTCTGAGTCCAGACGAGCTCTCACTCGACCTCATCATTCGAGCTGACCACCCTCACATTCAGAGCCGCGTCGACAACTTGCGAGGTCGACAAAAAAGATGGTACCGGTCGTCCCACTCGCAGAGTCGGATTGGAAGGTGATTTGTCCTCGAACTCCTCGCCAATAGCTGTCCATTATCATCATTGCTCATGCCACGAGTCTCTATGGCTTATCACCCTCAATACCTCCTCAATCATTGTCACATCAGATTAATGGTGACTCATCGCATAGGCAATCGCACTGTTTTAAAAAACATCCGCCTAGTCCGCTTAGGCGTACGCTTAGGTCTAGACGGTACCTAGACCGCCTAACTAGCGCCTAGCGCCTAGGCTGTATTTAGACTGCCCACCTATATTTTACAAGCGTTTAGGGGAGCATTGTCTGCTTACGTGGATTGCACCCTGTAGACCTTGATTGTGATTTTATGTGTCGTAGCCTACACGTCCTCCAAACTCCATTAACCTCCAAATATGAACACCTCCATTACCTCCTCCGACCTTCAGCAAAATCTCATCGACCACCACTTAAATGAAGAAAGAAAAAAAACGTCCAGAAACCGCTTAGGCGTCCGCCTAGACGACTAAGCGCTGGGCGCCAAGTCCGACGCCTAGAAGCGCCCAGCGTTTAATGTAACATTGGGCAATCGATACTTGTTAGCTATCTGTCGATTCAGCTGCCTGTCTGGACTTGGCCAGAGTTGCTGAGTATATATATGGGCTCGTCGCCCATTGATGAAGGAAGGCCTTCAGGCACCCCTCGAGCTATAAGTACGCCATTTCCGGCTAATTAATTTCATCATCTGCATATTTAGTACTTATTCAGTTCATTGATTTCCCACTCAACCTCTATGCTGACTTAATCATCAGAAGAATCATCGAAAACCTAACTCCGGCCCTCTAAGGCTCTAACATGTTCATTTTGTAGCTCTCTTATCTTAAAATAAGGGATCGGTCGCCTAAGGGGACGAGGGGACCCACATCATCCGTTTCGACCCTAACCCTATCGCTAACTTGGGATTATCTACTAATCTCGCTGCTGAGTCTCACGACATCAACAATGGCGCTAACCGTGGGGCTCTCTTATTACTTCAGCTAGACTATCCCCTATATTTTAAGCATCGGAATAACTGAATAAGAAGTCATCTCCATCTAAGCTCCACAACAGTCAAGAAATTTCGCAGTAAGGCCATGATGGCAAGTTGGTCACAATATATACAGCTTCGGAGAACTCTCCAAGGTAATCAAATTAAAGATACTATCTTAAACGAGATATTTTTGTGCTATGTACCTATTTACAATTGTCGACAGTCAGCTCTTCATCGACTCGGCCTACTTCAACAAAAGACCTTGGTATCATTTTCATGAATAAATCCAAGATGCGCCATTGACAGAAATACCTTGGTATTATTTTTATGAGTAAAATCTAAGGCACATCAGAACTTGGTATCATTTTCATGAGTAAAACCTAAGACACGTAAAAGACCTTGATACCTATTCAGGATAAACCTAACACGCCATCAACTCGGTCGACTACGACAAAAAGACCTTGGCACCATTATCATAAGTCCAAGGCACGTACCCCAGGACCTTGGTGTCATCGTGAGTGAACCCAAGGGACGAGGTCGAGTCATCCCCAACTTAAGCCACAAAGCGGAGTCACCTCGACCCAAAAGCAAATCGGTACTAAAGACTAATTGCAAGCTCTTAAACACAAAAACGCAATTTAAAAGATACTCGGTTCAAATTGACAAAGATATCTTTTTGTTCATATATATGAAACTACTTACGGTACAAAAAATTGCTACACAAAAAAAAGAGAGAAGATACATAAGCCCCTCCAGGGTCGGACTCGGTAAAGATGCGTGCGGATCAACACCAGAGCCAGAAACAGGAGCTAAAGGCAGAACAGCTGTAGTAGGAATTAGCTAAGGAGCCGACTGAACCTCGGAATCGACCTCCTCGCCTTTCTTCTCCCCTGGCTTACTCAGCCAGCTGTCGTAAGCCAACCCCTCGTCTGCCTCCTTAGCCGACTCTCAGTCCTCGTCGCCACTCCAGTCATTAAGCATGAGCCCCCTCCCTGCTTCTCTATCTCCTAGAGCGTGCCAAGACAATTTGGCCACTCTTGAAGGATAGTGGAACTAGTCAAGATCACTTCAAAGTTCGGTCGAGAGCTACGCTTCGAGATAGTCATAGCCAGGCTTGCAAGCGAGCGCTACCTCCACCTTTCCGAAAGTGCATGGTGATAGCCTTCAACAACCTCGAACCGGTAGGCCTCGGACTCCAAGTGAGCGATCCAACCTTGCAATGCCTGGATCTCAATG